TTTTTTTTTTAGACCATGCAACATGCAGTTTTTCCACAGGACTATCTGATGTCTAACTGCAAGAACTATTAGAACAATAACATTTCATTATCTGATTAATGATTTTTCAATCAAATAAAGAAATCTCCTTGTTCACAGGTCATATTTTAGCACTTTATACATGGAGTGGTTGGATGATTGCGTCTGGATCCCAAGACAAGACTGTAAGATTCTGGGATCTGAGAGTGCCAAGCTGTGTTCGTGTTGTGGGAACAACGTTTCATGGAACAGGTAAGACTTGCTATCATGCTAACTTACCTTAAAACATATTTTAAAGACGTCTAAGTAGTACACGATGAATACAGGTTTTTGCATCATACAATGGAGACTGGGCTTTAAAAGAAAGAACTGGTGATGTCTTCACTTTCTCCTTTAGAGAAAAAAAACCTAATGTTTTCTTTAAATAATGGCTGTTTCTTTGCATTGTGACTGTAAAGTAGACACTTCCAAGTATGTTGAAATAAAACCAGCTACCAAATTGCAGTTTCAGAATTAAAAAGGAGTGGGAAGAAGCAGCTGATACTTTTCTAAGTCATCAACGTACTCTGTAGAAGTCTGCGAGTATTCTCGAGAACTAGCTGGTTACAGATTTGTTTCTTGAAACTCTTGTATTTGAAATATTTTTGGCAATAAACTTGAATTATGTAGAAAAGAAACTTCCCTGCATTATTCTACGTTATTTTTGATCTCATCAACGTGTATAAGTATCTGAAGGGGGGGGTGCCAAGAGGATGAGGCCAATCTCTTCTCTGTGGTGCCCAGCAACGGGACAAGAGGCAATGGGCAGAAACTGAACCACAGGAAGTTCCATCTGAACCTGAGAAAGAACTTCTTCACTGTGAGGGTGACAGAGCATTGGAACAGGTTGCCCAGAGAGGTGGTGGAGTCTCCTTCGCTGGAGATATTCAAAAGCCGTCTGGATGTGATCCTGGGCAGTATGCTCTAGGTGACCCTGCTTGAGCAGGGAGGTTGGACTAGATGATCTCCAGAGGTCCCTTCCAACCTCAACCATTCTGTGATTCTGTGATTTTATATACAGTGACTTTGTTTCCTGTGATGAAATGGACATTTTTTTCATGTGATGTTAACAGAGGCTTTGCTACCACTCCAGCATGTTGGCTTCAGAGTGGCTTCCTGTGGCTTCAGAATTTTAAATGCTAGAACATGAAATGTTCTAGCATTAAAATATTTTAAGGTAACAGTAGGAAGGTATGTGGATCTGAAATTTAAGGTCAGCAATCTATATTTGTATATAATATGTATTCTTGTTTAAAAGAACAATAGACTGTGTGCACAAACATGCATGAATTTGATGTATTTCTTTTCTCCCAAAGGAAGTGCTGTAGCCTCAGTAGCTGTTGATCCTAGTGGTCGTCTCCTGGCTACAGGACAAGAGGATTCTAGTTGTATGTTGTATGATATTAGAGGAGGGCGAATGGTACAGAGCTATCATCCTCATTCCAGCGATGTTCGTTCTGTTCGCTTCTCTCCGGGGGCTCACTACTTGCTCACAGGATCATATGATATGAAAATAAAGGTGACAGACTTGCAAGGTAACGTACTGCAATAGATACTAGGTTATTGTTCAATTTGATGGCTTTAATATTGAAACTGTAACAGAACTTGAATCAAAGATTAGTTTTTGGTTTAAAAAAATAGTAGAGCTTAAAGTGTTTGAAATGTACGTAGATGTGATACTAGTCAGTTAACAATTAACCAGTTATATTGCTAAGAATGTAGGCTGTCAACTAAATCTGGGTGTGGAGAGGGTCTGATTACAGTAAAAGAACTATTCAATGCTGTTGCCTGCTGATTTGGCCTTTGCTTTCAGGCAGCTTTTAGAAAATTGACCCTTTAAAATATGTATCGCTCTCTCTATAAATGAATGAGTGTGTTTGTGTATGCATATACATACACATGCGCATATATATATATATATATATATATTAATGCTTATGTTTATTGGGAGAGGTCAGGAAGAAGGAAGACATCAGAGATATCTGTCCAACCAGCTTGATTTTCCTGGACCCCTATATTTCAATCGCATAGTTTAAAAACTGAATATCTGTGTTTTTAAAGTTGTACTGTATCCAGTAACACCTAGAAGCCCAAACACCGGGGCCTTGTTGTGCTATGCTATGCAATACTGTGGGGGTAGGAGTGTGGGGAGGTATGTAAGGACTGCAGAAAAAATACTGTTTAAAGTTGAACCAGTTTTTCTTTTAATGTTAATAGAGAACTTAAGCGTTGTTGTTAACTTATGATCTCTGAGGTCAAGCACATTTCATAAAGTGAAATACATGTATAACTTTTGCTAAATGAGGAAAAGAACTAGAATATGAATTCATGAAACGAGTAACTATTTCTTTTCCTCTGCCACAGGGGACCTTACGAAGCAACTTCCTCTTATGGTGGTAGGGGAGCACAAGGACAAAGTTATTCAGTGCAGATGGCATACACAAGACCTTTCCTTCTTGTCATCTTCTGCAGACAGAACTGTAACCCTTTGGACCTACAATGGTTAGAGTGCAAATATAGGCAACCTATGCGCAGCTAAAGCACAGAGACATGAGACTACAGAACTGTAAAAAAAAAAAAAAAAAAAGAAAAAGAAAAAAAAAAAGTAATAAGCATTAGGCATTCAGAGAGCAGCAGTTGACCAGGAGAGTGTCTCCTCAAGAGGAGAGGCACTTGTCACAGATTTTTCTGATTTCTAGGAGGTCTTGGTGTTTTTAGTATATTCTTTTGCAGTGCTTTCAGTCTTCCATGTGAACTCATGCTGCTGTGAACTATTGTAGTCTTGTTGCCAAAGTCTATGAGAAGAACTCTTATGTTGTTGATGTGCACTCGAAGTAACATGAATGACGTGTTTACAGTTTGGTATTAATTGCATTCCTTGGTCTTTGCCTCAATGACAATTTTATATAGAAATTTGAGTTGAACAACACTAATCAAGTCAGTATGTAACTAGTTCCACATACACATAGAATATAAAAGTTACTTCTGCTGTTTTTTCCACGTTTATTGTATTCATCACTTCTCAACAAGAGATCAAAGTTTATTATGTCAATTATGTCAACCTTGATGACTTTTTTAGTAATAAATTCTGACCTTTAAAGGTGACTAGGCAGTAACCACATCTTGATTATGGTCCATTATTATAGTGTGACTTTTCGTTTCAACTAACCGGGAGGGAAATGTTGCAGTATTTGCTTATATGACAATGTTTTCAACAAGCTAACATGTTGCAGGGGGAAAAAGTAAAATACTGTGTTTGCTGTAGAAACATATAATATTTTACTTTTTGATTGCAACAGAATACCTCTGTGTATAATGTACTGTAGAAAAGAGTGGATTGGCAGCAGTTGTCACAGTGAGCTTAATGGCTATCAGTTTTCCCCAAGTAAAAGGGATACCATTAACACTATACTACAAACCAGCATGGCTTAAAATGCTATGTCTGCATGATAATTTAAGAAATAAATCATTTAAATTCCCAGTCCAGAAAGCTTATTTGAATTTTATTTCTTGCACTGTTTATGTATAAGAAATTGCAGTTTTATTTCTACAAAAGTTAGGTTCTAATGTTTATGTATTGTTATATTTTCATATTGTACAGTTCCTTTTACTTTTTAAATTTAAACCTTAAACATTAGGTTATTTATTTATTTGAACTGCAGTTAAGTTTTGGATTCTCTTGATTAATAAATTATATGTGCACCATAGCAAGCATTTTTAACTATTGTATAAAAGTGGAAAGGTAACTATAGAAGTGTATCTGTGTTATAATCTCAATAAAGACCTCCAACACCTGCAACTCTCTCCCCTATTATTTCAGATTTTTATATCAGAATTGCTCAGTGCCGCTTTGATGCTTTAATATAGATATATATGGTATAACCAAGTCTTGCCTGAAGTCCCATATCTTTGATACTGTTTTCAAATGCCGGACTTTGCAGAGCTCCAAGTAATACAGTAGCAGAGAGCTAGAACTCTGTCACTGTCCTGTGTTGGACACACAGGTAAGGGCCTAATGCTGCTCGGAGGAAAGCGTGACTTGCGGCTGTTCTGTTCCTCCCGCTGCAGATGTTCTGTAGGCTGGTCTGTGATCACAGCTGACAGACTGTTGTTAAATATCACTGCCCATTGCTAGTTACTAACTTTTTGTTTTTAATGGATTTTTTATTACAGCTTGTGTCTCTACGCAGCGGATCCGGCCCCACATCTGTTGTTTATGTCCTAGCTGCATTTAGTGTTTGGCTTTGCTTCGCAAAGCGGTTGCGGAAACCTGACCGCCAGGGCCGGAACCGCCCCGTGGTGCCGTCTGG